TGGTCAAAGCTGAAGCAGAAGATACTGAAAGTTTGCATACGCGTGCGCGCACACACACTCACATGATACATAGATACGCACATCCATACACATATTAAATACATGAATAATGAATATATAAATATATTATATAATATTATATAATACTAGTTTTAAATTATAACATATTATAAATTATAACATACATACATACATGCATGCATGCATACATACATACATCCATGCATACATACATCCATGCATGCATGCATGCATACATACGTACGTACGTACGTACATACATACATACATACATACACACATACACACATACACAGATACACAGATACACAGATACACAGATACACAGATACACAGATACACAGATACACAGATACACAGATACACAGATACACACACACATACATACATACATACATACATACATACATACATACATACATACATACATACATACATATCTGAGACATTCTGTATTATTAGTCATTGTCAGCAGAGACAATACAAACCACCAAAGCTGCGGCAATTTGGATTGTTTTGATCGCAGTGCTTGTATTCTTTGTGTCTGATTTGATTTGGAGGGGGCTAGACTGGATAGACACATCATACACATCTCACCACAAAAAATCTATGCGTTGTAAACACATGCATAGTCAAACAATGGGGACATCATGAATCGTCCTGCTGTCGTCGTCGCCATCTTTTAAGCGTGGTCTGAGGTCCCCACTGGAGCTCGCACCCTGTCAAGAAGTTCTTCCAAAGCAGAACCTTGGCCATGAACATCACTATAGTAACTTAGTACACACACACACATATATATATATATAATTATATATATAATTATATATATATATATACTATAATATAGTTTATTGATGCTTATTGATGTTTATTGATGCTTATTGAATCTTATTGGTAGTTTATAGTCGTTTCAGATATTTGTCCCGAGTACCTAGAGGCTAAACGCAATGCATGGCGGCTCAACCACTATAGTAACCAGCGAGTCTCGTGATACGAACAGAACTAGGCGAACTTTGCGGATCCTCAAAGCATTGGAATATGCTCGTAAGGAAACACCCTGTTGACCGTCCCCAATTGAATGGGAAACTAGCAGCATGCAAACAGGTATCAAACAGTTTCTTCATTTCTGTTCAGATTTGTTTGCTTATGGCAAGTCCTCGTCTATTTCCATGCAATTTCTAGTCGCGGTACATTTTTGTCGCATCCGCACGCTGCAGGCGCTTCCTAGACACCAGAGGCGAGATGACGCTCTTCGCAGGAGTTTGCATTCGTCGCTCTGGGCCTGCTTTTACTGTGCTTTTCGTTTGCGTCGGCACTGATGTTTTCTTGCTCAAGAGAATCTTCGGTATATGATGGGGTTCCATGAACAAGACATGAGTTTTTACCCCCAAACCGACTGGTTAATCATCATTTCCATTTCATTTCCCATGTTTTTCTTATCCAAAGCGGCAATTAGGATATGTTTTGGCTATAATTGACCAACAAAAACCAAACAACCTGCAGCTACCAACGTTCTCTCATAGCCAGGTTTGCAGCCGCGTCAGCAGCCAGATTTCGATGCAGGAGCACTGGCAATGGATCGCTATGGATCGCTGCATGGCAGATCTGCTTCGACTAGTGTTTGAGTTGATGAAGAGGATGAAGTCATAACATATGGCAGAACATTTTGGCATCTTTCGGTGATTTTTGGGCATATTTTGGCTCCAGGTATCGTTGAAAGAGTCCTCTTTCTGTAGGAAGTCTTCAGAGTGAACCGCTTGATTTTCCCCTTTTTCCTCTTGGAAGCGACCATGGATTCCATGGATCCTGCCGTGTTGCGGTATGGCACCTCGATACTTCAAGCAGGCACTCTGTTGAAGCTGATCTCTCTGTTGGTTTCCTTCCTTGCGTCCGGGCCCATCCAGCCCATCCACTTGAGGGCCACTTGTGAAAAGTACCACAAGCAGATCCAAAAATGGTGGAAGCGCCGAGATGCCGACGGTCGCAATGAACGGGAACTGGATGAGATACGCTGCGTCTGGACTCGTCGTATTTGGAGGGTCGTCTTTGTTCTCTCCATGTATCGCCTGACCCTCCGACAAGTTAGTTCCCGCTACAACGCGGACGTCGAATCCTATGATCTCAGCAATTTCCTGGCGGCCACTCTTGGCCTGTTGTGGTTTTCAGTCCCTGGCCTCATAAATCCAAGAAGCCAAGACGTTTTGTACGTGGCCACGATGTTGAGCGCAGATGCTGCCTTTTTGCTTCAATTACCGGAAGTAGATGTCCGAACTGTGATCAGTCACACCTTCGCAGCACGCTTCGTGTATGCAGTCCTTGCCAAACGGATTGGCTGCGTGGTGTTTTGCTTCTTAGTCCACTTGCTCCAAGCAATCCAGATGGGCATATCACAAGCAGATCCTCCAGGAGTTGCTTACTCTCCCGGAGCTCTCATTCCCATGTTTCTGCTGATGTTTGTTGGCATCGTTGCTGTTAGGGGGCTGGTGCGTGAGAATGTGATTCTCAAGATGGACTTGCAAAAGAGGGTGGTGGAACTGGGCGCAGTCTCCTCCCTATTGACTGCATGTTATGATGCGGTGGTAGAGGTGGATCAGAATTTGTGTCTCACTCAGCATTCACGGCAACTCTCATCAATGCTTCTGCAAATCTCACCAAAAGCTGGTGGGTTGTCAGGGAAATCCTTGCTCGACTTCTTTGCTGAAGGAGACAGAGCGAGAATTTCGGAGCAAGTTCTCAGTTCAATCAGTTCCGACTCTGAGAACATTTCTGTAGTGGCAATGAATGCGGACATGTTGGATTCTGATTTCAATCATGTGATTGTGGAGCTGTTCTGCGCACAGTTCAATAATTTGGCCAATGAGAGGTGCTTTCTCGTGGGTCTGCGAGAGATTCAAGACGTGGAACATTTGAAACCTTGTGCCCCAGCACAAGGCCACGACAGGGAAGACCTGGAAGGCAAGGAAGGCCATGAGGATCTACTTGCGGTGTATGATGTGTACACACTTGACCTTCATATCATGAATCCCGCCCTGCAGCAGCTTTGCCGACCATACTTGGGGGACACCATCCCCGACAGCATTTTGGACCTTGCGAGCCACGACTCGCGATTATGGCTAGACCAACAATAGCAGAACTTGGCGAATGCGTTTGCTGCACAGGCTTCAGATGCTTCAAAACACAACAGCCCAGTCTGCGTAACCTTTGACTTTTTGGGACGGAGTGAGGCGAAAGCATTTGTGACCTTCGAACACGACCAGGTTCTTGAAGCTTGGGTTGCAAGCATGGACATTCATCTTGAACCTACCCGCCTTCCACATTTTTCGCATGCCAACTTGACCAAGTCAAACCTCCAAACATTGCATAGTTTGGCGGTTGAAGATTCACTCGCTGCCCAAGTCGCCCAAGTCGGCCATGCCCTTCAGCGCCTTCCACGCCGTCAACAAAGTCACTTGAGTCGTTCAAGTCGTTCAAGTCGTTCTCAAGCATCGTCAGGGCGTTCCGGTTCCAAGTCTGGGTTTGGGTCTCCACATAGCAAGACAGGCAAGTCCGTGGGCGCCATCAGCAACTTGCGCATGGACCATGATGACTGCCATGACGTGATCATCACCAAGCTCCCACTGTGACCTGAGACAGCGAAGTTGTAAAGGTTCCGATACGTAGTGGACGTAGGACGTAGGCTTTCAATATCTTTCAATTTTAATCATAGACGATTAAGACGGCTCAAGGCCGCAGATCTGTTTCACTGGCGAAAGCTTGGGAAGAGTCGAAAATGCAGAGCTGTTCAGATTTGTGCAGAACCAATGCTAGAAACCCAATGAAATCACGTGACCATGTCCTACGGATTTGCCTTTCTGCATGAACGATGCTCGAAGGCTCAAGCATAGGGTTTTTGAGCAAAGGTTTCGGAGTTTATAGAAATATATAGAAATATATAGAACATCATAGAACTATAAACCCTACAAATGATATCAAATGATTCCTGAACAGTGTAACTAGACTGCGTTAAACTGCTGTGAGCAGCGTGTTTGCACCTCAATGCCACGCAAGATCAAGAACACGAGGCTGCAGCATTTGATTAGTTGCCTTTTGTATAGGCATGCCAGGCCCTTGCATATCCCTTTCATATCCTTTCATCACATCACTACTGTATTTACCAGGTTATTTATGGGATTTTATGGGTAAAGGTCAGTTCTTCTAGATTCTTCCAGACTGAAGTTGTGAGTCGGATGCACCACCCATCCAGGTCCGACTACATCTCTTTGGGTGCCCACCATTTGATCCCCAGACTGAGGGCTTCAATGTCCCTTGAAGTGGTGGTGAAATAGCGTTTACTGGTTTACTGTACCCGCACAGGAGTGATGTTGAAATAGAAGGCATGCATAGCAGTTAGCCCCTAAAACAAACAGTAGTTAACCCATGTTAATCCATTGGAATCCATGTTAATCCACCTTAACCCCCAAAAATCCGGTAAATAGATGTAAATAGTGGTTACTGCAACTGCAGAAATAAAGTTAAAATACATTAATGATTGAAAAACACAACGTATATCCCTGACCTATACACTGACCAGAATCACCGATCGTCATGGAAGCGGCCGCCCACCGTTGGTCTGGACTGCCGGATGATCAGCTTGAAATGCGGGCGGCTCCATCTGCTGAACTCCCACCAGGGTTGATGGCGCATGAGGCAAAACTGTTCAACTTGGAAGGGCGGACAATATGTGGAAAACATGGCAAAACTGTGAAAGACACCCCATGACATACCACCATTATCCACCATTTATATATATGTATTATATATATATATAATATATATATATATATTATATTATGTTATTATAATATATTCTAATATGTTCCCATTATTTTCCCAAGAAAACCATCGATTTTTGATGTGGAGTTCCCAGCTTGCCATGTTTGGACAGTCCCCCATTTGGACTGTCCGATCATCCCGGGAGGTTTCCGGGACCACCTTCTACCTCCCCCAGCGGTTCCATCCACTGCGAGCTCTCGGAAAAGGTGGGGTTCCGATTGACAGCAGTACAAAAGATGCAGTAGCCAACAGGGGAGTTCAACATAGCTATGGAAAATGGAGCAAAATGTCCCTATATATATTATTATATATTTGTATATATATATATATTTGAATAGCGGCTATATGTTAAATTAGCAGAGGGTAAATCCTGCAGCGAATCCTGTGTGATTTTTGTGGTTCTGCCCTTATTAGTATCTTGCCTGCCCAACACACATAGGTCTAGGGTAGATCAAACAGACCCCTGGCCCAAGGTACCTATGGCGCTGTAGCTGCATTTCGGGATGAAACTGGACAGGAGCTCGGTGGTGAAGGGTCAACGATGGGTCAAGATGGTCCAGTCTGGGTGGTCTCATCATTCATCTGAAGTGTTGGTGATTGATCAGGAGGAATCAGTGTTGTCACGCTTCCTCATTCAAGATGTAGGAAGGGGTCCAAAAATGTCCAAAAGGTCAGGTAAGGCAAGATGATTTGTACATATTTGTACAACAAGAGGGTTGGCCCATCATTTGCCCATCATTTCCGTGGTCATTCGTGGACCGTCTTGGACCGTCCCGAAGCAGTTGAAGATTCAGCTTTCGCTGAAGGAGGTCGCCATCAAGAAGATCCCCAACTCGTGGCAAAACACCACGGAGGTTCGATGCAGGGGTGGTTTGACAGCACATGCATTTGGTGGTGCAGATGTGCACATGGACATGCGGTCGAAATATAAGGTGGCCCTCGAAGTTTATCGGCCCAGCAATAGGTGAGAGGATGCAACAGTTTTTTAACACCATTTTTTTTTAAAAAAAAACTCCAAGTTTGTGCGCCCATTGATGCCACATGTTTTTACCAATTCAATACGGCCTATATGGCCCTGCTTTTTTCTGTGGTGGTTTCCAAACCGGAGCATCCTCTCCAGGCCAAGCGGTGTTTGCGAGAGATCAAGTTGCTGAAAATGTTGGATCATGAGAACGTGATCGAACTGTTTCAGGCGACCGCCTTGAACAGACAGATACAAACAGAACGTGTTTCAGCTCATGGCAGTGGTTTGCAATGGTGTTGGTATCTATATACAGTATATAATTTTGAGGCCTCACATCAGTGGGTGATAGATGGGGATCAAAAAAATTCAAAACCTTTGAAATCCACATATTTTTTGGGGATGAACATCCAGAAATCTGATCGAAGCTTTTGGGGTGATCAGAAGGGACGTTTTGCGCAGGTTCTTGAGCCTCCCTGCACGGTCTTCAACGAGGCTCGCTTCCATCATGGGGGTGTTGGTAATTTTGAAATGGGCTTATCTGAAAATGATAGGAAAACCATGGAACACCCACATGATTTGTTGGTTCATCATCATTTTCCCCATCAAAGTGACTCTATAGTAGTGACTCTATGTCGGGATTGCTCTTAGATTTGCTGAAGATGATATGGGTATTTTCCCAATTGAAATATCCATCAGAAACGGGGAATCTATAAGAGTCAGTCGTGATATTTTTCAGGTCCCTCACATCCTGGGAGGTATATCTCGTGACGGAGCTCTGTGACGCAGACCTACATACAGTCATCAATTCAGACACGCCTTTGAGTGACTTGGTCATGACTTGGTCATGACTTGGTCATGAAGTCTGTTGCTTCATGATGGTCCAAAATGGTCCAGATTTTTCAGCTCCTTGACGTTCCGAATGAGCCATGTTGAACCCTTGAGTGGCTTGGTGTCTTTGCCTGCTTGAACAGCACTGTCCTTCTGAAGTTCCAAACCGGTTGCAGCAAGTCATAGGATTTTAAGCTTCTTGGTGTTATTTCAGGGATTTTCAGGGCCATGGCAGCTGACATCAGCAGACATTTGAGGCGAAGATCACGTACAATTCTTTGCCTATCACATCCTCAGAGCGCTTCTGCAGCCTGGTCTAGCCTGGCGCATGGCGATGGAAAAGGCTGACCTCAGTTGTCCGAGTTGTTGGCTGACCTAAGGTATTTGCATTCGGCGAATGTTGTGCACAGAGACTTGAAGCCAATGAATGTGTTAGTCTCTTGACCGCAAAACAGGCATAATGTATCAAAAAAATACCAACAAATGCACATCTGCCGCGGATTGCCATGCAAAACTGACCAGCTATGCCGCTATAGTATGTGTCCAGCTGATCCTTTTTCACCAACATCCGCTCAGGTCATGAAGAATTGCGATATCAAGCAGCTTGGCTTATTCAAAATTGACATTTTGAGGCTAGAAAGATTCAAGATCCCCGGATCCACAATTCTGAAGCCTGTATGACAGCGTGTGACACTGCCAGGCTATGTGACTTTGGCCTCGCGCGAGGCAGTGGCCTTCGGACAGAGTGAATCATCATAATCGTGGAGCCAAAACTATGCAACCTATTTCTTATATTTCCTATATTTCTACATTTATACATATATATATATATATATATTATATTATGCACAATATATGATATGCATATATATATATATTTATGTATGTATATATATATATATTTGCCTATATTCATATTTATCCAAGAAGGGGATGCCCATGATGACCATGGCCAGGCCGCGCCGGCTTTGACCGTGAGGACGACGAATGGCTTCGCACGGAGTATGTGGGGACTCGTTGGTACCGCGCGCCTGAGGCCCCGATGGCCAGCTGGGACCAGCTGGGATGAATGTCATCTGGTAATTTAACATAGCTATGGAAAATCACCAATTTTTAATGGGAAAACTCACTATAAATGGCAATTTTCAATAGCTATGTTAAATTACCAGAGGGTATCTGAAAAAAAATCGTGATCTCATTGGCTAGCAAAATGCACCGAAGAATTATCAAAAGCCTATCCTGGGGTTCTTAAGATTTCTTAAGTGCAAAAAAAGCGGCAAAATATGGGAATTGTGAACGAGGGTGCCCTCAAGTTCTGAAGGGATGGCGTAGATCTTCACCTTAATCTTAAAGGAAATAAGAACTAATGGCCCGAATTCCAGGGTACCCCAGGGTTCTTATTTCAATTAACCGACAGGAAGCGCTGAATCCAGCAATCCAGCTGAAGTTCTTAATGCAGTAGGTTCTGAAACAGTGGTTTCACTGTACCCCGAATGATCAACCATATCAACAGCCAGTGATTTTCAGTGATTTTCCTTATGTCCTCATTGAGTCCTCATTCCAAGTTGTTCCAAGTTGTAGGTGGTGCTCACTTCCTCCGAATACACTGCGGCCATCGATATGTGGAGTGCAGGCTGGGAGTGTCGGGTGGAGATGGGCTGCAGATGCCCAGTTGGAGCATTTTTGAACAGGGGGAAATATGGAAATAGCATTTCTATGTCTAAAATGTCCCACTCACTAGGTATTCAACATGAATATGATCTAAAATGTCCCAATTGGGCTGCAAATGTCCTAATCACCAGGCTTGCTGTATCCAAGAATGTTTAAAGATTAAATGACAAGCAAGCCAGGTCGTACTCGGGCCCATCATTGCCATAAAGTAACCGTTTGCACTTCCGCCGAGGCTGCATCTTGGGAGAGCTCATGGGCAGAAAAGTCATGTTTCTTAACAGGATTGATGCCTTGTGCCCATGTTTGATTGCACATTTGTATTTAAGAGAGATGGCAACGGCGGCATGTTTGAAGACACACCATGCATTTGCATGGTTTGCTCATTTTCTCAGGCTCGCCGCAGTTTGATAGTTCAATCTTTGAGCAACTGCACACTCCTGTCATTTCAAGAAAATAGAGCTTTAAGATGCTTTAAGAGATTTTAAAAGTGGGCGCTCTGCCCCAAAAAGAGTTGCTCTGTCAGTTTCCCGACCTGTGCACCCCAAACATGTTTGAGGTTCAAGGGCAACGACTTCATAGACCAGATCCACACAATTTGTTCGATTCTGGGCACTCCAGAGGCAACGGCACTTATTTTCATTGTTGACAAGAGACTCAAGAGACAAGGAGCATCAAATAAGCTGCCCTGCAGTTGCGCGCAGATACCTGCGTGGTCATCCTTAAAACCTTGCAGGCCTCAGAGCTCTCATTCATTCCAGAAGAGAATTCTGCAGCCAGAAATTTTATCCAAAATCGTTTTGGCTACATGCCTCCTCAGCTGCTTGGTGGAGATTGACGAAACGAGCAGACCCTGGCACTTTGAATCAGTGTGACTTTGAAATCAGTGTGTCCCTTTCGGGTTGAACGATGTTGACAGCGTCGTGCAAGGTTCAACACATTTGGTTTCGGGCAGGTGTTTCGCCGACAGCCTTTTTTCCCCACCTGCCAGGTGAGGGTTGTTAGATTTTATGTCAGTTGCCTCCTCCTCCCTCCTCCTCCTCCTCCTCCTCCTCCTCCTCCGCCTCCTCCTGCCTCGTCCTCCTCTCCTCCTCCTCCTCGTCCTCGTCGTCCTCGTCGTCCTCGTCGTCCTTGCTCAACTGCGACCCGCGATCCACAGTGTTCTCTGCCGGACCTCAACCACGACCATCCACGCCCAGTGTTCCCTGCCGGACCTCAACCACGACCATCCACGCCCAGTGTTCCCTGCCGGACCTCAACCACGACCATCCCGCCCAGTGTTCCCTGCCGGACCTCAACCACGACCATCCACGCCCAGTGTTCCCTGCCGGACCTCAACCACGACCATCCACGCCCAGTGTTCCCTGCCGGACCTCAACCACGACCATCCACGCCCAGTGTTCCCTGCCGGACCTCAACCGCGAGTATCCACGCCAAGTGTTCCCTGCCGGACCTCATGTAGGAAGATATGGGACAAAGAATGTGCAGAAGAAAGTTAGAAAGAATGTCAGAAAGAATCAGAAGATATGCCAGAAGATATGCCAGAAGATATGCCAGATAGAATGCCAGATAATATGCCAGAAGATATGCCAGATAGAATGCCAGATAGAATGCCAGAAGATTTGCCAGATAGAATGCCAGAAAAGATGCCAGAAGATATGCCAGATAGATATGTCAGAAGATATGCCAGAAGATATGCCAGAAGATATGCCAGAAGATATGTCAGAATATATGCCAGAAGATATGTCAGATAGAATGCCAGAAGATATGTCAGAGTATATGCCAGAAGATATGCCAGATAGAATGCCAGAAGATATGTCAGATAGAGTGCCAGAAGATATGCCAGAAGAATGCCAGAAGATTTGCCAGATAGAATTGATAGAATGCCAGAAGATATGCCAGATAGATATGCCAGAAGATATGCCAGATAGAATGCCAGAAGATTTGCCAGATAGAATGCCAGAAGATATGCCAGAAGATATGCCAGATCATATGCCAGAAGATATGCCAGATAGAATGCCAAATAGAATGTCAGAAGATATGTCAGATAGAATGCCAGAAGATTTGCCAGTAAGAAAATGTATAAATGTCATGGTGGGGATCACACGAAGTAAAGTAATTTATCTTTTTTTGGAGGAACATGGAGGAACATGGAGGAACATCTCTGATTCAGACCTCAGAAGATTCTTTCAGATGGCTCAAATCGTGCCGAGGGATTTGAGAATGCTGTATCCCGACGCATCTGCAACTCAATTGCATCAAGCAGACAACATTGGGTTGTTCTCTTATGTTATCTTTAAATGAAGGCAGGCATGATGAGGTCGTGTGCTAGGAGGATAGGATGCATCTTGCAAACAGTTCAAAGATGTACGCGTAGAGATCGGTTCACCTTTTGTAAGAACAGATCTTGAATCCAGGCAAGACCACCACCAGACATCACCAGATAAAGGGCACCTGCAATGCAAAGGTACAATGTTTGATTTGTCGAATCGCACACTACATTTGCAGCTCTAAAATCGACAAATCCCATCCAAATCCTATCCCTCAATTCCGCAGTTGGCAGCTACAGGAAAGTCAATGTGACTTGCTGGAACAGCTGGTCCGATTTGATCCCAACCAGCGGCCCAGTGCTTTTCAAGCCCTTCGGCATCCTTACTTGGATGATCTTCATGATGAAGATGCTGCTGAGCTCAAGGTGGAAGGGGCCTTCAGAATTTCTACCAAAAATGCAGGGAGATAAGTTTGAATATAATTTTGCATTCTGATTCACATCCTTCCCAGACTTGTGTATGATGTATTATGATGTTGCAAGTCCCTGTTGTAGCAACGCTGGGCAGCAGCTGTGTTTGGCTGCGGATGCATCTGAATTGATCAACCATCAGACCAAGCATGCGAGTTGGCATAGCAGCAAAAACAAGAAACTGCTGAAGGACGGCTGTTAGTTTGTACTTCACCTAGTAGGCCGACCCCAGCCCACTTCCTTCAGGAAGCCCTTCCTCTCAGCAAGCTCTGCTTCCTGTGAATCCAAGGATGAGCCAGTTGCCGAAGGTCATGTTGACTGGAGTTTCGATGAAGAAACGGGACCTGATGGATTGCAGAGACTCGGCTTAAACCATATTAAACGCATTAAAATACTTAAACCACTGGAGGGAACACAAAAAAACATGAAAAACCAGCAGATGACTGCTTGTCAGCCAATCGCGCCAATCGCCACAGGCGAAAGATATATCGAGAAGCAGCAACTGAGGAAGCCACTCGGCATTGCCCAGTGGGGTCTCCATTGAGCTGCCCCAAAAATACCCACTCTGCCTGGCTGAGGTCCTGGCTCGTGACCGGGAGGAATTGGAAGCCAAGGGCTGGCCGCTGAGATTAGAGGACGAATGGTGAGCCAGGATCTGCGATACATTGTGGTATGCAATTTTATATATTGAGGACCTCACATTGATGGTGACGGGCAATCACATGAAACACACTAACACCATTTTTCGCAAAACATGTGTAAGTATAGGCACATGAATATTTGACTTAACTTGCCTTTTGTGTTGCACAATTACGGGCAGATTTATGGTACCAACATCATCCCAGATTGTATAGTCCAGTGGCCAAAGTGCCACGCAGGCTGTGCGCTTGCAGCAAGAAAGTTGCCGGAGCATCAAGGAATGCGAAGGAAAACAGACAGCACAATGATGAGTATCACCGGATTGAACTATGTTCAACCACAGGAACAAAAATGATTTCCTCCACTTGGGTATGCCCAGAAATTGTGAATATATGTGAATATACTCTCAAATTGCACTTTTCATTCGGAAGATGGTGTGACAAAGCATTGGATTTTGGTGTGCCCTACTTGTGGACCAACCCGTGAACATCAGGACTAGGATGCAAATCCACAAGCAGCTTGATGCCTCTGGAAATCTTGAAGTGGCTACGCGGCTACGTTATCTCTCCCAAAGAAGGAGGATTTAGCTGTCAATGCTGGTAGATATTGGTAGATGTTGAGGCCTGGTACTGCTGTCTCCTTTTTGCTGCCAATAAAAAAGTGAGCGGGTGCCCGGCTGCATTGTAGACCAAGAGGTGATAAAGCCACCTGTGCCAGCCGCAATATGCATGCAAAGGAAGTGTTTCAGATGAACTTGTTGCTGTATCAGGAGAGCTCCTAAATGGGCTTCCTGGTCGAAGGGGCTACTGCTTGAGGCGTGGTTTCTGCACGACTAAGCGCTGATTCCCCTTGCAGTTTCTGATAGCGAATCTGACATGTGGAGAAGCCATTGGTGCTGTAGACTGGGGAGATGGGGTTTAAAGCCTAGGCATTTTACAAAACATGTTTTTCCTGGATTCTAGATATTCTAGGATTCTAGGGCATATTACCGTGCTATTTCATGGTTTTTGGATGGTTTTTGCATATTTTGCCAGGTTGGGCATTGATGCAATGAAGAATGGCGTTTGGCGCCTGGAGTCAGGCAGCCTTTCTTTGGACCCCGGGCATGACTGAAGGTTCCATAGTCTCAGTATGGCTGTCAGGTGGTCAGAGCGCGCGGCTACTGGCACGAGGGCGTTTGTTTTCATCCCTTGGCACGTGGCATCGTTTGAGACACTTGGCATGGGTTTCACTATGTTTCAATTCAGAGATCATAGTGTGCCACCCCCTGGGACGGTCGGACTTGGCAAGTCTCTAGGACTTGGAAACAACATGAAACAGTCACATTGATGTTTCTGGAGCTTTCCTGAGGCCGGTTCCAAGGTCAGGTCTAAATCATGTGACGCCAAACACAACTTTACATTGAACACTATTGAACCTTGGTGCTCCACAGCGAACTTCAATGTTTGCATCTGAGGATTGGCTGCAAATGGCACAGTGATTCGAGCATCTTGGTCGGGTACAAATGATATTCGCTGATCGGACGGATGCTGGACGGAAACCAAGCATCTGGTTTTGTATTAATGTAGGCTGCCTAATAATAAAACAACCCCCCTATTTTTTTTGGGGGCGTCAGCATTCCAATAGTAAATTCCTGGAACCCTATGGCTGGGATCATGATATGTATCTGATAGATTCTCCATGGTTTTGTTGGGTTTTTGATGGATTCTGAATGGATTTGGTTGGGTTTGTGATAGATAGGGAATCTGTCTGGATACTATACCATGCCCTCTGGACAAGGTCAGAACATGAGTTTTTTTGGCAATACTAAACGTAAATTAGGCTAATTGACTTTTAGTACTTAGTATTGGAGAAAAAACTGGAGTTGGGGAAAAAAGTTTCTACTATTGCCATGTTGGGTCCACTATTGCCATGCTCTCTGGACAAGGTCAGAACATGATTTTTTTGGCAATACTAAAATCAAGTTAAGCTAATTGACTTTTAGTATTGGAGATAAAAATGGAGTTGGGAAAACAAGTTTCTACTATTGACAAGGTATCATTATTGGCTAGACAACATTATGTAGTACTAGTAAGCCCTAGTAACACAAATGGCAAGGAGCTCGCGCACAAGCGAACAGGCTGCATAGGCATTTTGAAACTTGCCGCTTGCCGGTCTCTGATGTGCCGAGGCAAAAATCGATGATCAGGATGAGGCCGGTCATTTTAGGATGGGATGAGATGGGTGAATTGGTGAGAAAAAGGAAGATAAGGAAGGAACCACACCACGAAGTACAGTTGACACTTGCATTGGCTAAAGAATTTGGACACCATCTGGTTGGTGGTTTGGAACATTGTCTATTTTTCATATTTTTCCATATGTTGGGATTAATAATCCCAACTGACTTTCATATCTTTCAGAGGGGTGGTTCAACCACCAACCAGCCATTCAACATCCGATTTGACACGATGGGTGTGAGCAGCCAATGATGGTTGGTTTCCTCCGGGCTCTGTTCCAACCACCATTTACACGATTTATATCCATGGATGTTCCCTGGATGCCCAACATCCCAAACTCAGGCCACCCCCTCCAATTACTGTACTAGCTGGAGCTCGCAGGTAGTGGCAATAGATTCAGATCACACCACCGGCGCTGCTGCGCTTTTCTCAGGTGGGCTAGTGATGGCTTGTAGGTCCTTCAACTGGAAACATGATGAAACCATATGAAACCCACACATAGCAGCTCTTTCTTTGCACAAAGCAACATTTCACTACATTTCCACTACATTTCCACTACATTTCATGTGTCCTTCAGATTCTTTCAACTTTGAACGAAGATGTGTGCGAGTCAGGGATGTTTGCGCATGTCTGCGCATGCCTGCACATGTTTGCGCATGTCTGCGCATGTCTGCGCATGTCTGGGCAGGTTGGCACGAGACCTTCTACGACAACTTCGCCACTGTTTCCGCATCTCTCAGACCATCTCAGACCTTAAAGGTTTGTCAGGCTCACCCCTGATTTGTCCCCATAGCCACGACATGCCACGACTGTTTTGGGGGCCAGTGACCTCTAAATTTCATTAAATCTCCCCAGGCTGCCAGATGGATCCATATATGGGCCATATCCAAGGCTTTACAGCCGGCTGCATCCCTTGAACCTTTGTACTGAGCTGCCAAAGCTGCCAAAAACAGCCGGGTACCAAAAGGATTGAAGATTTCCAACTGGGCTTCGTCGTGCTTCGGGGGCAGATTTGTGACAGAATCATGTGAGTGAATAGATGCATATGTTTCTGTATTACACACATACATACACACACACACAGATATATATATATATTATATTATGTGTGTGTGTATGTTGTAAATAGTGAACTTCAGTTTCGGTTTGAAATCGCAGCCTGGATCAATGGTTTTTTTCAGGATCCCAGCTTGTGTTCGCAATACAATGTGGCCACGAGAAGTCACTGTGGATATTTGTGAATCAAAGCTGCCTATAACATTCTATAACAGCCCATAACATCCTATAGCATCCTAGAACAAGATACAACTTGCAGCTTCTTTTTCAAAGGACTCAAGTCGCCCGTGTAGCTCGTCTCGCTCCTTCTCGATCAAACATGGGGTGCTGTGTCAGCAAGGCGCATCCCGTGACGCCCGTGAATCAGGTCGCCTCAAAGGTGACTGGAAACGTATCAGAGGCGGTTGCGACCCAATCGAAAGCATCTACTGCAACTGGCTGCACAAGTTGCACACATTACTGGATATATCTGGTTGGTGCTCCACCAAATATCTTGGTATCTTCAAGATATCTTCAAGATATGACAAATCATACAAATCCGACCTGGGATGATCTCAAGATACCAACTCTGGAGGAATAGACTTGGTCGTGCAAGGAGTTGTTCTGACATGTTTTGACTGTACTGTTCGAAAGTGTTGTACCATCATTGATCATGTTCCACCATTGTTCCACCTATTTTGGCTGGTGGCTTCCAACATGTTATGTTTTGCTTCCCTACCGGGGATGATTGTCCTGATTGACTGACATATTTTAAGGCACTTGGGTCCTCTGAGATGGATGATGCAGAGGGCGGGGAAGGAGAGACGAAGGTATCCACTTTGGAGGCCCCCGGGCTGCAGAGTTGCCTTCTGACGACCCAAAAATTCATGGGGTCTGAAAGATGGTGTTCCTATTGAATGTAGATAATCTGTATTACACTGTTACACTCCTGAATTCTAACGTGGAACTTCAGGTTATTCCTGAAAGCACCTAACATGGCACCTGCCCTGCACATATCCCGGTCATGAATTTTGACATAGGTGAGCCAACATGGAACCTTTTTTGGTAAAATGTTAGTTTTCGGGAGAGTACCAGCAGTACTGCACAAGGCGGTGGCGGAAGTTTCAGAAATAGGAAACCTAAAGGAGAGGTTGGTTATTGTGAATCACGGATGGCAGAGCGAAGCCACTGATGGACCGACAGGTGGTTGAGGTCTCCTCTCTTTCTCTCTCTTTCTTTCTCTTTCTCTGACTATCTACCTACCTACCTACCAATCTATCTACCTACCTATCTACCTGCCTACCTATCTATCTATCTACCTATCTATCTACCTATCTACCTATCTACCTATCTACCTATCTATCTACCTATCTATCTGATCTATCTACCTATCTATCTAATCTATCTATCTATCTGATCTATCTATCTATCTATCTGATTTATCTTTCTATCTATCTACCTGTCTATCTGTCTATCTGTCTATCTATCTATCTATCTATCTATCTATCTGATCTATCGGATCTATCTGATCTATCTGATCTATCTGATCTATCCGATCTATCCGATCTATCCGATCTATCCGATCTATCCGATCTATCTGATCTTTCTGATCTATCTGATCTATCTGATCTATCTGATCTATCTGATCTATCTGATCTATCTGATCTATCTGATCTATCTGATCTATCTGATCTACCTGATCTACCTGATCTATCTATCTATCTGTCTGTCTATCTATCTATCTGTCTATCCATCCATCCATCCATCCATCTATCTATCTATCTGTCCATCCATCTATCTATCTATCTACCTAGCTATCTATCTATCTATCTATCTATCTATCTGATCTGTCTGTCTATCTATCTATCTATCTATCTATCTATCTCAATCTCTCTATCTCTCTATCTCTCTATCTCTATCTGCAAGCTTGAAAACGAAGCTATTCTGCGAGACTTCCTCAATTTTTGAACTAAACAACGTCAAAAACGAAACAATTCTGCGAGGCTTCTTCATTTTTTGGACTTGACAACATCCAAAACGAAGCAATTCCGCGAGACTTCTTCAATTTTTTGAACTTGACAACATCAAAAACCAAGAAATTCTGCGAGACTTCCTTCAAAAATGGAGAGTCGAGTGCAGCGCTGACAGCCTCGTACCAATGCGTTTTGCGATTTTCCACTCCATCTGTGTAAAGTGCTGCGCCGGCCACGCAAAAGTGATGCCAGCTCATACGAAGTGCTGCACCTGTCATGCAAAATCATATTAGCAAACCTGAAGATTTGATGCTCCAAAATGCAACCCCCCTCAGGAAGTCAGCGCCCTGACCTCCTAACATCTCTGATGAACATGTCTCTTGTAGCGCGCCTGCCACGAAAATGCATCTTTGCAGATCCTCTTCAAATGCCCCACGCCTGCCATCGTTTTTGGAAATGCTGCAAAACCGTTACGTTTTGCTCACTTTTGGCAAGGTCCACAATCCCTTGCACCTGCCACGCGAAACGACATCTGAACGTCCAAAAGTGGTCCGAGCATGTGGTATTTTTAACATTTTGACTTCGAAATGTGCTTCGCGCCACAACGGCGTGCACTTTTTCGACATCTCAACGTCAAAAAGTGCTCCGTACCCGTTAGTTTTTTACACTTTTGACTTCGAAATGTGCTTCGCGCCACAACGGCGTGCACTTTTCGACATTGCAACTTCTAAAAGTGGTCCGAAGCTGGTGTGCTTTGTGCATTTTGACTTCGAAATGTGCTTCGCGCCACAACGGCGTGCACTTTTTTCGACATCGCAACTTCTACAAGTGATCCGAAGCTGAGGTGTTTTATGCATTTTGACTTGGAAATGTGCTTCGCGCCACAACGGCGTGCAATGTTTCATCTCTCACCTGGCCAGCTGGCTCCGCACCCGCCGCTTTAGCGAGCCTACTTTTCGACCCTCCGGAGCCACAAATCATAGGAAAAACACAGTGTTTCGCGACTTCCCTACCTTTTCGCGCACCTGGATCTTCTTTCTTCTGAGACTTTCTCTTTCTTCTCTTCTTTTCTCTGACTCTTCCCAGCCCTGCTTTTTATCTGTCCATATTGTTGGAAGTTTGAGTTTGACTTCTAAACTTCCTTCGAATATGGCACATGGCTCTCCCTCTCTCTCTCTCTCTCTCTCCCTCTCTTTTTCTGTCTGCAGAACCACGAGCCCGCCCCTTGATAGCACAAAGAAACTTCCCGTCCTTTCAGCCTGTCAGTCTACTTCCCCGATTTCCTTTCCAGTGAGTCAACAATGGTTCTGCATGTCACACTTGGGGTGAGTGTGGGCAACCACTACAGACCTCCCTCAGCAGAATAAACAGTGATATTGGTGAATATTGGTGGCCATTGGCCCACCGAGCTTCTCGGAGGCAGATACCTCCGATATCTTGGTGCAAGACTTTCACCATGATGTGGACGAGAAGGAACCAGCATTTTTCAGCAGCTGCTGTGTGTGAGATCCAGATCCGATGTTAGGCGAAAAAATCAGAGCTCTGTGGGCCCCGCGGGCAAATGTAGTTCACCAGCAGATGCATATCACCAGCAGAATACGATCAACTTATTTGCACGATATGGTATCATATGCTTCACATGATCCATGGCTTTGCGCCCACCGCAAAGTCGGATTCAGAACCCCAAGAAGCCATGGTGAGGGGTGCAAAACCACTTTTGTACCAGACAGAAACCCAAAACACAATGTGCCTGCTGGTGATGTTTCAATATAGTATGTGTTGATCACGTTAATAACGGATTCATCCCAAATGTGGGTTACACCTTAAATTGCAATTTCAAATTATATAACGACAACCTATGAAAACGAGAGGATACGAGAGGTTTTTCAACCAGATTTCATGGGATTTCCATGGGTTTCCTGAATCATGCCTGGCCACAGTTATGCCCAGTTGATAGTGCCACTGGCGACAGGTGGATCACGAATGCTTCAATTCAGATCAATTCAGATCAATTCAGTTTAATGAGACCGGGTCCTTACATTTCCACGTTTGTGTTTGAGTACCCCTGAGTTTTGTTGAGCAAAAGTTAACCATTTGAAATATCTTGAAATGCTGATGGTCAACTTTCAGAGAAATTTTTGACAGAGGAAAGATAAGGACAGCTGCATAGCGGCCTCGTATGCCCAAATATCGGTGCCTCTGCGTGAGTCGTAGCCGGTCTGTTCCAACCAAAGAAGCTGCAGATGCAAAGCAGCAAGAGAAGAAATTGATGGAAAATAGAGGAGCGTGGAAGGAACATTTTCGGGGCACCAGTGTTATATATTGTGATACGCATTGCCAGTGGAACATGAAGTCAAAGCATGCCCTTGGCAATCGAAAGGCAACCTTCACATTTGCATTCTTGGTGCGTGATGATTGATGAAGGCACGCATATGCGCTGCGATAGCGCATACCGTCTGGTAATCAATAATCGCCATGGAAAATCACTTGGCTCGAGGACCGGTCCTGGGACCCGGATTGGCCATGAGTTTTAGATGAGGAGCCATGGGCTGTCAGGCAAGGCTAAGTACATTCCGTTGAGAAGGCATTGATGATTTGCCATGATTAGCTGCACAGGAAACCACCTGAGTGCTTCATCTTGCAGATGGGGGTTTCCTGAAATGGGGGTACCTCCAAATCATTCATGTTCATTGTATTTTTCATTATAAACCCTCCATTTGTGGGTAGCCCCATGACCATGGAACGCCCCCCATCTTCTTTCTTGAGATTCCAGAATCCAGCCTGCAGCGTCGGCTGGTTGCAGGCTGGAAAGTCCTTGGCATGCCTGCACAGCAAAGATGAGGAGGCCATCGGGGTAGTCCATCTGGACCTACCCCGCCGAGTCCATGTCCACTGACACGGGTGAGCCTTGGCATATCTTGGCATCTTCGTCGATTTCTTTGTGATGAAATTAGCGGGATATCATGGGATAGAATGGGATACAGGTCCCGCCAAAAAATGGAAGGTACTTGGGTAACTTGGGCATTTTGAAAGCACCATGATTTGAATGGGTGTGTGTGTGTGAGAAATGCAACTATTGAAACTAGTTGGCTTGGTGGTTCTTCTCAAATTGTTCCTTTTCCATACCTCCAATGAAAATGATTAAATTGGATGATGATAAAACTGGACTTTCAAACTGTTAGGATGGTTGAAAGAATCAGCTCATTTGTGCATACTGTACATTGCTTGGATGTTTTTGATTTTCCCTGACCGGGTGGGCCTTAGGATGCGGTACTGGAAGAGTTTGAACAAGTGCCGGAAGAGGATTTGGTGATTCGACCTGTCTCTGAATCTGGGCAAAAGGTGCAAAATACAAAACCCTACTGGTTGGTGGTTTCAAACAATCCATAATGCATGGGATAATCCTTCCCATTGGCGAACTCATATTTTTCAAGATGGTAAAAACCACCAACCAGACCATCTAAACACCTTTCATACTTCCAGCTGGTGCAAAGTCTTCCCTTCCCTGTCAGCAAGGATTTGGAATGTTGTGTGTAGTCGGCGTGACCTACACCATATCACAGAATAAAATCGATAGGATCCAATGGCATGCTGTGCGTTGCTGTGCTGTATGGTCCAGGAAATTTATGAAAATTAGCTTTTGGCTGTAGTTGGACCACGGCCTTTAGATGGCTGTAATGTTTTGTTGACATTGGGGGGGTGCGGTGGGGTGGGGCATGTATTAACGTTACATGCTACGCTGGGGTGGGGTGGGGTGGGGCATGTATTAACGTTCATGTGAACTTGCAGATGAAGGACATGCTACCGGTGGCTGCCGGCAGGTGCATGTATTCATGGGTGGGGTGGGGTGGGGCATGTATTAACGTTCATGTGAACTTGCATCTTGCTACGCTACTGTAAGTTCTCTTGAACTTTGCACTCATACGTCATGCTACGCTATTGTGACTTCTCTTGAACTTTGCACTCATACGTCATGCCACGCTACTGTAAGTTCTCTTGAACTTTACACTCATACGTCATGCTACGAGCTTGGAAGGCAGCGGCCGAACGCCGTGGCATCCCTGTACAAAGTGTAGTTCATCAAGTAAAGAATTTTACGTCTGAAGGACCGAAGATGTTTCGAGTGTATCCAACATTGCCGGGACCCAAACGTTTGACCGGCCCTGGAATTCTTTGAAGGACTTCTTGCCAGCTCACATGGTTTTGAAGCACAAAGAGCGTGGACATTCCACTCTGCACCCCTCAGTGACACAATGTGTGTTCATGTGGTGCTGGCGTTCTAGCTTGGAAAGTCCAGATCCTCAAAGGTTCTTGGAAGAACTGGAAGCGTTGCTCTGACCAAAAGACGGCTAAAAACATGTGAGGGCGAAGTTTCTGGGTCGGCAAAAAACTAAAAAATGCTAGTTTCGTCTAGGCGAAATACATGTTTTTTGTGCCACTGCACCAGAATAAGGGGGTTAACGACCTTAAAAATCACAACACACAAATTCCTATTGGCACGAGCACATCAAACATGATCCATGACACCCCGCTAATAACAAAAAAACACGGCCATCTAAAGGCCGTGCTCCTAGTTACACATGTTACACTCAAGAAAGAACGCGGGCTCATCATGTTAGACGTCCCAATGTATCCCAACTCGGGCTCCATATGGCCAAACTATGCCGAACTCTTCAGGGTCGTAGCGATTGTAGCTGTGCCTATTCGATGTTCAATGTTTTTCCGTGCGTGTTTTTCTTCAAGGGTCCAACGGTCCAACCCATGTATTTCCATGTGTTTCCGTTGGGTTCTTGGATTTATTTGGCTTGGTTGTTCAAAGCATATTTGGAAACGTCCCTGTGGTCATACCTCCTACATACCTCTTTTGAATTTTGGGTGGGCGGAAGGTTCATCTTACTTTATTGATGGTTTGGGATCAGGAAGAAATGCGGTGTCGTGGTTAGTTCATTTTATGTATTTCCTGCAGGCTTTATTTATATTGTTTAATTTCATAGTTATTTTTCTTATGTTTCTCTTTCTTCATCTCTCTTCTCTCTTCTTCTTCGTTCTTCTCTCTTTGTACTTCTGTTTTGATCCTTTTCTTTCCTTTATCTCCTTCTTTTGCTTTCTCACTGTCACTTCTTATCTTTTAATGTGTTTCACCTTTTTTCCTTTTGTTCACTCCTTCTTACTACTTCTATCTTTTCCTGTCTTCTCACGCCAATCGGTTCTGCCGGGCTTGGCGTTCGTAGTATTGCAGAATGAATGATTGTTTTGCAATACAAAGTCGTTCCCAACAGCCGTGACTGTTGGGTTTCAATCTCTGGGTCTGGGAGTGGTGCATCGTTTTTATGCCAAACCCAAATCGGAATGGAACCGCAACGCACGAACCTGGAACTTGGATCCTGTCGTTTGCAGTGCGAGGGGCTCTCCAGTCGGTCCGGTCTTCGGTACGCTAGTACTTTCTTCCTTCCATCCTCCAAATGAAGGCAATCCCCTAGTGTTTGACATGTTTTCTGGACAATTTAAAACGACGTCACCGATGTCACCCCGAAATAACGACCTAGCCTCAGAAATAACCCGTCACCATAGATGGAACCGACCTGAGGTTTTTTTCCAGCCGTAGCTGCCCATACTAAAGCTGGAAAAATAGGGGCCTTGCTTCTGAACGCGCTGAAAATCTCATTTTCCTATTTTGACAAACTAGGATCTTTCTGTTTGTCCAGCCTTTGCCGCCTAAAACCGATTTTTCCAGCCGTAGCTGCCCATACTAAAGCTGGAAAAATAGGGGCCTTGCTTCTGAACGCGCTGAAAATCTCATTTTCCTATTTTGACAAACTAGGATCTTTTTGTTTGTCCAGCCTTTGCCGCCTAAAACCGATTTTTCCAGCCGTAGCTGCCCATGCCAAAGATGGAAAAATAGGGACCTTGCTTCTGAACGGGTTGAAAAGGACTTAGCAGCCTTGCTGAGGTACAAATAGTTATTTTTCTGGTGTTATACAGAAGGGATGCAGCAAATTAAGAAATCAAATCAGGTCCTGTTGGTGTATTAGGCCGACGTAAAAAAAATTATTAATTCAGACGACGTCACTATTTCATCGTCAAAATTATTCGAATTAAGCGACGACCTGCGAAATATTATAAATTGTGCAGATGTTTTGACTGGGTGGCTCCCTCCGCCAAGGAAGATGTTGGACCTTGCGTAGTGGGATTTCCGGTGTCGACCGTCGCGGAGCCGGTCACCGTGCGAGTGAAAGATGCCTCCAGCGTTGTGAATGCCGTCCCCGATATCCCAAGAAGGACAAATTGTGGCCGATGTGCCCAATGCTGCGTAAGTGTCCAGCCTTGTTGAAGATTTTTGATGGGTTTGTCTGAAAGTTGAGCGGACAACTCCAAATCCATCTAAATCCCAGGTTCAGCATCATACGCCCTAGCCATCCCTAGCCATTTTGGGGGTATCTCGGCCCATTTTTGGACAAACCCTAAATGTTTTTTTTCTTCCTCTACTAGTATTTATCTCCATTTGTATTTGAAAATGTCATTGGCTCCTTCTGTCGGACTTGGACTTTGGGTAAGCATCCTGAGGTGTTGACTGTTCATAGCTGTGGATGTTTCCCAGTTTTGTGGCTCTCTTGGTGACGGCCTATCCAACTTGGTATCTCCGTGTACATGGGCAACATCGTGGCCTTGACCAACACAGCGATAGTGTGCGATAGTGAGACCTGTGTGTGGTCTTAGTTTAGTCAGAAATGCACAGAAAATCTAGGGTAATTCAAAAATTTATCAGGGTTGGTGCCTGGCAACTGGACACCATTGAGCATCATTGAGCAACAGCCGCAACTACACAGGCTGACTTATTGTTTGCGAATGTGTGTTGTTCCATTCATTAGAAATTGCCGTTGCAAGAATTCATATATTTTTATTTCAATGATTCATTTGTGCATCCAATCCTGGCTTCACCCTCAATTCTGAGCGATTGCACTGCAGTGCCACTTTCGGCGCAGAGAAGATTCATCTTGCGATCATCTTGTGTGACGGTGCTGCAACCGAGCCAAACCTCCAAAACTGCGCGGCGAACTGTTTCAGACACAACCTGCCGGCCATGAACCCCAGAATATCCCAGAATGCAGTGAAACCATGCATTTGCGATTGCAGGGCCATGCCAGTGACCAGGGGCATGTTCGGTTTCACTGTTACACAGATGTGGTGCAAAGGAAGGGCTCTGGAAGATGGATGGATGGATGGTGATGGATGCATGGATGGATGGATAGATATCTTACATACGCATAATCTTTATAATAATATATTAATATATATAGACATCCATGATATTCTATGATGATATATGTTGGTGTGTGTGCTTATCTGGATTTACTGTAACCGTAACCTAAGCTATACTCTACCGACAGTGTTTGGGAAGCTCAAGCTTGACAGCGACTACCTCACCTTAAGAGCACCTTGGTTCAATATGTGACATGCTGAAATTTACCCTCTGGTAAACTAACATAGCTATGCATTTTTAATGGGTAAATCAACTATAAATAGCAATTTTCAATAGCTCTGTTAGTTTACCAGAGGGTAAGTGATGCTTTCTTATCTTTCTTCACGTTTCTTTGGTCATTGGAGCATCGCGGACCTGCGGCTCCGCATCGAGCCTAGGAGACCAGCAGCTTCACGTCATGGGTTGCCAGAAGAGCAAGGTGGCAACTCCTGCGGAGACCATGGGGCTGCCCGCGAAAAATCAGAAGAGTCTGAAGAACCAACGGACTGCAACTCGTCCAGGTCCGTGGGAATCCTTTTTAGAAAATGATAGAAAATACACAGGGCATCGCCAGGTGTATGATATAATTAGCAGCTTTTTTGATTTGCATGATACATCACACTACATCATAAGATATCAGAACACCCATTGCAATATACTGTAGCAATCTGTAGCATTCATGGACTGAAAACCCGTGGTTGCCATTGCTGAGGCGATGGTTTGGGAGTCCGAGACCGAATCCACAGCCTTGGCATCTGGAGCTTTTGCCACAGAAGTTTCGGAGGTGGGAAGAACCGGGACCGGAGCCAGCCATGATGATTAATGATGGTTGGATGGTTGGGCAGTTTCCAAGACCTAAAAAAA